CCATCATATGGGCTATGGGTCGGGGAAGCGCTGAAGGGTTCTAAGCAGGCCAGGGTGATCTGACAGGCCTGTGAGATGAAAAGACCCCTGTGGTTGCCAGGAGATGGAGGATAAACTGGAGCTGCCAGGGGCTGGAGGTGGAAGAGTAGCTGGGGGGCTACTGGGGAGTTGTGCCTGAGGGGAACCATGGTGGCCTGAGCCAGAATGGTGAGCATGGAGGTGGAGGGAGAGGAGAGTCTACAGATAGTCGAAAGGGGAAATGATAATACAATCAACAGTAGTAATAATAGCAGCCAACATTTATTGAGCATTTACTGTATTCCAGGCCCTGCGGCTCGGGGCTGTCCAAGCATTACCTCAGTTATCTTTGCACCAACCCTGTAAAGTCGGTTCTATCATTATTCCCATCCAGCTGTGAAGGGGCTGTGGGGCTCTGAACAGGAGGTGCTTGGTTTGTGATTTTCATCACTGGGAGCTGGAGGAACCATTCAAAGACCTGAGGACCCCACAAGGATCATGGGAAAGAGGGGGCATATTGTGGTGGAGGGCCCTTGGGGCAGCTGGGAGGGGAACATAATCCAGCCCCTTCTCCACTGCTCATGGGTCTCCTTCATATAATACCATGACTCTAAGGGGGGCCCTAGCCTGGGGGACAGGGCTCCGAGGCGAGGGGGTACACTGCCTAGAATCCCCTAATAATAGCTCTGTCCCCCAGCCCTCTGCATGCCAAGCCACAATTCCAAGAGCCCTGTGTCAGCTGTAACCCAAGGGAGGAACAGAAGCCTCTGGCTGGGTGCTTCATTCCAGCCAGCAGGTAAATTTCTTTCCCAGGAAGCTGAGGGGGAGCCACATCTGCATCAAGTTCCCAAGAGGCAGGGACAGGGCAAAGAGACAGGCACAGGACAAGGGTCAGAGGAGAGGCAGGCAGCGGGGTGGACGGAGGTGGGGCTTCCCCAGCTTAGGGACCATTGGCACTTCTTTGGCATTTGGAAAGTCAAGTGACTCAGGAACAGATGTCAACACACACACACACACACACACACACACACACACACACACACACACGAGACACTCTGGCCTGCAGCACAGGGACCACCATTGGCCCTGATGGGATGCAGCAATGCCCCTGATGATGACATGCAAATCAGAGACTAAAGCCAAGATCCTCAGACCTGAGCTGGCCCCCAGGGAAGACAGGAGGGCAGGTTTCAAGCTCTCACACCTCTATGACTCCCTGCTCTGCCTGGCTAATTCTCCCTGTCCCTCAAAGCTTGCTCCAGCATCACCTCCTCTGGGGCAGTTCTTACTCTCATGGCCTCAGAAGTCCCTCCATAGCCTCTGCAAACAGTATGATCATCATCCTTGTCTTGTGTGTGTCAGGGGCACTACCTCCTACCCCAGAACACAGTGGAGCTCATCCCATCCCGGTTAATCCCCCCACCCCTCTCCCCTCAGGCTGGTGCCCAGAGCACAGGAGAGGGGGCCAGGGGAGCAGCTGCCTCCACCAGCAGCTGGCACTGTTGCCCCTCCCACCCCTACTATGCAGATGGGCCCTCCCACCCCCACTACGCAGCCCCTCTCTCCAGGGCCAGCACCAAGGTCCAGGGGAGGTGGCAGCTCCTCAGGGAAAGGTGACCTTACCACCCAGCCCACACAGTGATAGTGGCCTGGGCAGAACAGCATCTCTATGGAGGACGGGAAATGCCCTCAGGCTGTGCCAGAGTCCCAGAGACCGAGGCAGTGGGCAAGCAGCAGCTCCAGAACCTCATCTTCCTCGAGGCACATGCAGGACCTCTAACATAGGCACAGCACACTGACACACACATGGGGTCTCGCACACACGCCACGCACACTGTCACACACAGTCTCTGTCTAATACTTGCCCTCACATACACACAGTCTGTCACACACAGGGACCCCCCCCACCCCACACAGCCTCCTGCCTTATGTGTGCACGCATGTATACACACACACAGCCTCACACACAAGCTTCACATATAGTTTCACACTCATCACACACAGCCACACACTCATGCAGACACACTCACCTCCACTCACACACTCCCCGAAGCTCACATACAGCATCTCTCTTACACATGCAGTCTCTCTTGTACACACTGTCTCCCACACTGATTCATTCTCACACACGCACAGCCCATCCAAAACACAGAATCTATCTCTCTCTCACACACAACCCCTGACACAGGGACTCAGGAAGCTCACATAGAGTTGCAGTCTCACTGCACACACACACACACACACACACCTGGAGTCTCCCTCACATTTTTATTCTCACACACACAAAGTCTCTCATACTCACCCAGAACCTCTGTCTCACACATACAGACAGCCTTTCCTTCACACACATATGCAACACCACACACACAACATGTTGGCCTAGATCTACATAACGACTTGAGTCTCGACCAGCCCATGTGAGGGGGCACGGGGCCCGTGTGGGGGAGGGGTAAACAAAGGTGACGACTGCCTAGGGAAGATAGAGGGGGAGGAGGGCGGGCAGGCGGCTGGTCTCTGCGCAGATGAGCTGCAGAGAGGCAGCGCAATGCAGCTAGGCCAGCCGGGAGGGTGGCAGGAAGCTGGGGTTCTAATCCCAGCCCTTCCCTCCTCAGCTCCTGAGTGCCCTTGGGCAGGTCTCTCGTGCTATGGGCCTCAGTGTCCTCGGCTGTTCCCCAAGGGAGTTGGAAGGGACTACGACCTTTCTTTAGGCCACTAGGGAGAGAAGGTGGCTCAGACAGGCTGAAGGGGAGTGCCCACTAGCACCCACTCCCATCCCAGTACCGCCTGTCCCCGACCACCGGGCACCCAGCTTTTCCCTCACTCTGCTCTTCAATGAGCATTTACTTCAGAGATTTTTTTCAAGACTTTTCTATATGGTTTTGCACACCAACAGGATCTCCAACCACACCAGCTGGCCCATTTGTCTGCCTTGGGTGAAGGCCACCCAGTAGCCTAGGAATGTCAGGCGGGAGAGCAGGGCCAGTGAAAGGGGTTGGAACATGTCCCACTGCCCCCTGCCTGCCCTGAAGCTTGGGGCACTCCCAACACTGAGTCCAAGGGATGGGGCTGGGGGACCCAACCTCTGGCTTGGGAGTCAGGAGGCTGGGCCTACCCCTTGCTTCTGGGGCCAAAGTTGGTGGGGGAGATGCTGTCCAAGGTCAAGTGTGGGCTGAGTGGGCAGTGGCTCTAACCCAGGCCTCTTCCCAACCCCACCCCAACATGCACCAGTTCAACCTCCCCTCCTCCTCCTCCAGCCCCTCCCCACAGCTCAGCCACAGCCTCCAGTTACATAACCCTCTAGCTGTGGTGGCCTCCGTCAGAAAAGGGGAGGGGAGGGAAGCCCTCTGAGGGTCCCAGTCCACTCTGGGGAAAGGCAGGAGCTGGCAGCCAGCCCAGGGGAGGATAGGGTCCCAGAAGAATTGAGTTCTAGTCCTTGGCCTCTAGCTCCCTGGGTGACCTTGGGCAGGGTCCTCAGTGGCAAAACATCAGCCTGGCTCTCTCCCTATTGCCTCCCCGATAAACATAGTTGTTCCAGAATTCAAGGTATTAAGACTGACCTGCTAACCGCCCCCCACAGGCCATACTGTGTTTGATCTCAGTTAACAAATCTACCAGGTCTCTGCCTAAATACAGACTTTCTCTGCCCACAGCACTTGAAAGTCCCCCCAAATCACCTTCCTCCACTCTCATCTGCAGCCTCCTACCCCTCTCTAGCACCCCCTTCCCCTCTCCCCCTCCACTCTGGCTCAGGCTCCAAGTGGGCAGGAGGGGAGAGATGTGGAGTAAAAAACAGCAGGGCAGAGGCAGTGCTTTGCCTGGTAGTGGGTGAGGGCAGCTCAGGGATGCAGGAGGGGCTCTCCACTCTGCCCTTGCCCCATAGGCTTAGGGTCTTCCTTCAGGCCTCTGAGGACAGAGCTCAGTGAAGGTTGAGAGTGTCTCTTCCATGATAGGTGGCTGCTACCAGTTCCTCTTTTGGGGCTCAGTCACTGATGGTCCAGCAGTAAGGCCCTTAAGAGTCCACCAGGCCCCTCCCCCATTTTACAGAAGAGGAAACTGATCCAGAGAGGCCATCTGAGGGACCAAGGTCAGCAGCAGCATGTCCTTTCTTCCTGGGAACAAGCTGGCACGGCTAAAGGGGAGTGGCCCATGAAGACACGCCCACCTCTCACACACCTTCTCCTTGCAGGTTCCCCCTTAAGGACCCCCCTCTACCCACTTCCGGATGTCCCAGAGGAAGCACTGGCATAAGCCCAGTGACCCACTCCAACACCCTCCCTTTTTGACAAGGAGGAAGGACAGGCTGTGATCCCAGGATCAGGGGCTCAGTGGGACCACCCCTACTCTACAGCCCAGCCCTCCACCAACTTCCAAGCTGTGATTAGCCATGGAGATGTCTTCTTGACCACCTCCTCAAAATTGCCAGAGGCTACTCCCTGGGGAGGGGGCAGCGTCCGAAGCAGCCCAGTAGGCCTCAAGCCTTTTTGGGGGCCATGCTGGCTGCAGATGCCCCCTTACCTGGGCAGGAGGAAGGGCTCCCAGCTTCCCTCCCCACACTAAAATCTCGAGGTCAGTCCATACTTTGACAGTGCACCTCTGCAAAGACACAAATGTGCACGGGCCGGCGCTCACGCACATTCAAACATACACACATGCCCACTCATTCCCACTACACACTTTATCCACCTGAATACACACCACACTTACATAAATATGCACACACAATCTACTCACACACACACACACACACACACACACACCCATTCATACGCATACATATTAAACTTGGCAACACACAGACTGACATATATAGAAAACCAGAACCCCGGCAGACATTCTCTCTCTCTCTTAGTGCACACATGCGCACACACCCCCTTTCGGTTCTGAACTCCCTAGGCGCCAGTTCTCCGGTCCACCCCTGCCCGCGGGAGGCACAGGACGCGGCCTTCCCGCCCCGCTTTTCTGATGGGTAAGTTGTCACTTACCCGCGCGTAGCGGGACGAGTATGGGTCCTCGAAGAGCGCCCAAATGCGCGGCTGCCAGCGGCGCCAAAAGCCACCAGGCCGGCCATCCGGGGAGTCACTGAGCGCCAGGCGCTTGGTCATCTCCAGCTCGTCCTCGCCGTCGCCCGAGTCGCCGGGCCCGTCGGCGTCAGCGTCGTCGGCGCTGTTGTCCAGGGGCGCGCCGCCGAAGCTGTCCAGCGCCTCCTCGGCGTCGCGGTGCTGGCGGTAAGTCATCCAGCAGCAGGGCTCCACGTCGGTCTCGTCGATGCCCCAGAAGGCCAGCTCCTCCTCGTAGAGCGGCCCGCACACGTCGGCCGGACAGTGCAGCTTGCCGGTGCGGTAGTAGTTCAGGATGTGCGCGAAGACGCCCGGGTGGCGGTCGAAGAAGAACTCGTCGGCACGCGGGTCATAGTCGAAGTGGCTGTGGGCGTCGGGCTCTGCCAGCCAGGCGAGCCGCGTGCCGGGCAGCGTGCGCAGGGTCGAGCGGTACGTCTGGTGGCGCGTGCCGCCCACGTTGATCACGATGCGCTCGCTCTCGTCCCCTTGGCCCATCGCGGCGCCCCCTTAGGCATGGCGCGGCCCAGCGACACCCTTGGGAGCGGCCGCCAGGGGGAGTTGGCGCCGGGGAGGGGGGCGCGCGGCCTCTTCCCCCCTCCCCCTAGCCGTCGGGGGGAACAGAGGCCCGCGGCTCTGGCCACCCCAACGAGCGACCCAAGCCTCTCTGGGCGCTTTCTGCCAGGTGCCGGTCCAGGGGAGTGTGCGCGGGATCCCAAGGGTCTCCAGGCGCCAGATGTGGGAGGGAGCTGGTCCGGCAGCGGAGGAGGCAGAGGAGGAAAGGAGGGAGGCAGAGAGGGAGGGAGGGAGGGAGGAAGAGGGAGGGGGGCGGGCTCAGCGGTGAGCCCCAGGAGGAGGGGAAAGAGGGTTGGGGGGCCGGGCTCCCGTCCCCATCTCCGCGGGAAAATGGAGAGATCGGCACAAAGGTTTTGGGGGGAAGGTCAGCCGCTCCCGGGGCTGGACAAGAGGCCAGCCCCCGGGAGGGGGAGGGGAGGAGAAGGGACCGGGAAATCGCGCTCCTCTGTGCGGTGGTCGCCGCGGCGCGCTCTCGGCGCGGGGGAGATGGTTGCCGCCTGCCTTCCTCCCTGCGTGGCCGGGCTGCAGCTCGGGACGCAGGGCGGGCTCCGGCCCCCTCCCTCTCTCCTTGCTTGGCTGCCTGCTCCCCCCGGCGGCGGGCCCGCCTGCCCGCCCGCCCTCCTCGTTCCTTCTCCCCGCCTCCCGGAGGAGATGGCGGGCCCCCTGGCAGGGGCACCTGGGGTGTTGCTCGTGCGGCGAACGCCGAGCGCTGCTCTCGGTGCGCCCAGGCTCGAGCCGGGGTTCCGCTGGGCTGAGCTCCGACTCTGGCTCCCGCGGCGGTGCTGAAGGGACAGCTCCCGGCGGTCGCGGAGCTGCGCGGGGCCGGGCGGGGGTTCTCCCGGCTGGGTTTGGTTTGCGGAGCCGGCGGGCACTGGCTCCGGTGCCTCTGCGCCCCGCACTCCGCTCCTCGCTTCGGGCAGGCGGTGGGCGCTGCCAGCCGAGACTGGGGGCTGAGGAGGTCGGGCGGGGAGGCGGGGGTGGCAAGTCCGCGAGCGGCGAAGTGAGGCCGGCGAGGCCGGGGAGGCGAGGCGCGGAGCGGCCGCCGCCGCCGCGAAGCTGCTGCCGCCCGGGCTGCTGCTTCGTTCGCTGCTCGCCCGTCGCCTGCTCGCTCGCGCGGTCCGCGTCCAGCCCGCCGCTCTCCGGACACGGGCACACGGCGCGCGCAGCCGCACTCGCCCCCGGAGGAAGGTGCCGCGCTGGGTCCTAAAAAGCCCTGATTCCGCGCCCCCCTCCCAGCCCAGCAAGGAGCCCGGCCTCCCTCAACCCCGGCGCTGGGGGCGCCCGCCCCGCGCAGCTTCTGCGGCTCCTGGGGGACCCGCCCACGCCCCGCCCTCGGGGAACGCCACTCCAGAGGCGGGGGCTCCGAGAGACTTCTGGGCCCGCGCCCCCGGGTCAGACTGAGGTGAGAAGGGCGTTGGCACCCGCCCCTTGCCTTCCGAACAGGGGACCATCTGATCCCTGGTGAGACAAAGCTCTCCCAGAGTTTTGTCGTCAGAGACACCCATGCCCGGACCAGTGCTGACAGCTCCAAGGAATCCTTTAATACTGACACTTTCCTCGGAACCTGGAGGCCCTATGATACTTCCATGGGTACTGCACACACACACACACACACACACACACACACACACACCACGTTATCCTCTAAGCCCTCGGCTAACAACCAGTCCTGGACCCCTATTAATCACTTTGCACTCCTTACTGACCCTGAGCCCTTTATAACTTCAGACAGGGGGCGTCTCCCATGAGAGCCACATCCATCCAAGTTCACTGACTCTCCCACACTAAACCTGAATTCTAAGGTGGAGACCCCTTATGAAAAGGGCCTTCTGCCCTCAGAGGTCAGAAGCAGCAACTGCTCCTAGTCTCCCTGAGCACTGACACCACCACCCCGCACCTCCTGGGGCTTCAACTGCCTTAAGTGGTGAGCTGGTGTTATGTCTGGGGGCTGGGTGGGAGCAGCTTCCTGCTGTGATTCCTCCAGCTTCGCAATTGGTCCTGGAGGTGGGAGTTGCAGTTTGAACCTTAAAGCCTTCCTGGTACATGCCTGCAGGTAGTGGCTTGGTTTACTCGTAGAGCAATCACTCCTTTACTCCATACTTGTTTCAGGATCTGTCCCAGGCACAAGCACACAAGAGATGAATCAGACCCAGCCTATGGCCTCGAGAAGCTCCCAGCCATTTGGGGAGGTGGCCAGGTGGGCCTAGGCAGGACTGGGGAGGTCAGGCCCAGCTCCAGGGGTGGCTGGGCTAGGAAAGAGGCATATTGATCCCAGCTCAATGCAATCGAACATAGGCTGCCTGGGCAAAGGGCGATTTAATTAAGAAGATACAAGGCTCTTATTACCTGCTGGCACTTTCTAACTGTGCAGACAGCTGTCCCTCTACCCTAACCCACAGATGCTATTGTGAGCCTGGGGACAAAGCTGTGCCACAGACATCGTTCTTACTTGGACAGGGGAATCCCAATCTAGACACAGAAAAATCTGTGTATGGTGGGTAAAAGGCTTGGAGGGGTAGTGAGGGGCAGGGCAAGGATTAACAGATGGGAATAGGACAAGGGGAGAGACAGAGAGGCACAATTAAGTCAGAAACAGGGGCAGAGTTGGGTAGAAGCAAAGAGAGGGTTGATGTCTGGGGCCTGCATGGTACCTCCTCCCTCCAGATATTGATCGGCATGATTCCTCTAAATAGGAGCTGTTTCCCCTTCAATCTGGGAGTAATGCAGGGGTCAGTGTTTTTGAGTGTCCCATTCACCCTGATCAGCGTGAGTCCCCATCTCCTAACCACAAGGGAGCCTGGCCTGGTGTGGCCCAGCCTGGACTTTATTCAGATCGCCAGGACATGAGCTCTCAAAAACTCTGTCTCAATCTTGGGAGAAGATGAAACAGAGAAACAGAGACCCCAGAAGAAAAAGGAAAAGGTGGACACAGAGACAGATGCATACACACACACACACACACACACACACACACACACACACACACACCTGGGAGAAATCAGGATGAGAAGAGAAAAAAAAACAGCCTCTCCAACCCTTTCTTTCCTTCTAGCCAGATGTCCAGTCCCTCTTCTCACCCAAGAAACCTTCTGGGATTCTACCAGCCATAGGATCACAGGACTCCACCTCCCTCCTCAGCTGCGGAACCACATGGCTCCGGATCTTCTCCATAGCTCATCTGATCTCCATAAAAGGAACATCAGCTCCTCCACAGCTTGTTGTTTGCTTCCCTCCAGAGTGCCCAGAACACAGTAGGTTCTCACTAAGGTCAAGATGATTTGAGAAAGTCTAGGAGAGAGGCTGGGATCCTAGAATCCAAGTGGCAGAGACTGTGGGAGTCTGGAGCCCCTAATAGAGGCCAAGTCAGGGGGAGGGACTTACCCAGGGTCTTTTAGGGAATTGGTGCAGGGCCCCACCCAGATCACTACCCCATGGTGAGTCCTAATGAGGGGGGGGCTGCAATGTGACCCAGGCAGTAGGGAAGGGAAGGTGGAGAGGGGGAGAAGCAGAGAGACAGAGAAACAAGGTGGAGAGGGAGAGAAGTGGAGAGACAGAGAAACAAGGTGGAAGGCCAGGTGATTAGGGGCTCTGGGCATGCCTGGCCATGGACTGGACGATGTGTTAGAAAAAGGGAGGTAGGCCAGGGTTGGAGGCAGAAGGGTGTGAAAGGGTATTACACCCTAAAATCCCCTGAGATGTAAGCAGAGAAAATGCAGGCACAGGAGCTCCCCAGCAGGAGAGGGTAGCTGTCCCCAAGATGCCCCACACTGTTCCACTGGAGGATTTTCACTTTGATGCCTGATGACAGCCCCCAGCCCAGGCCCCAGAGAATGCCCCCCACCTTGTGAAGAGGAAATAAAACTTTCTTCTCTCACTTCCCCCTCACACTGGAAGAATGCTGACATTTGCAGACAGCCTAGGAAAACCAAGAGGGCAACAGAGAAAAAAATCAACAAAAACAAAAACCAGAACACAGAGAAATGGCGGGCACGGGAGGAAGTAGGAGGAGGAATTACTAACCAATCCCTAGCTTCTCAACCACAAACACTAACCACAGACCCCTAGCTAGTGTGAAAACCTCATTTCTTTTTCTCTTTGGAGTGCTGCCCCCTATTCGCAGCCATTTGCCCCTCCCTTGTGGAGGAAAGCTTGCAGTCCGGCGCCAGAGGGTTTTGGTAGCTGGGGTTGGTGGGGGAGGGAACAGTGAACTACTGGTGGGGTGATGCATTCAGTGGCTAAGAGCACAGACGTTAGAACCAGACTGCCTGGGTTCAAATCCCAGCTTCGCTACTGACTAGCTGTGACCTTGGGCAAGTTATTCAACTTCTCTGTGCCCCAGTTTTTGTATTGTTGTATTGGAATAATAACTCCTGTATTCTTAACACCTCAGTTCTAGAATTTCTTTCTTTCAGGCCCAAGAAGGGATTGCTGGGCTCCAATAAGCTTCATGTAGGAAAGGGTAGAACGTGAGCTGGTGTTGGGAGTGGACTAAAAAAAAAGGTGAAGAGAGTTCCGAAGCCAAGTTTGGCCTGTGTTTTCCCACCTGGCACTTGCAGGCCTTAGATCTGGTCCTGCTAAGCTCTGGAACTGGCCCAAGTCCAGCCCCTAGGCTTTTGTCCAGGTTGGCACATCCTCCATGCTGATCTCCCAGGCCCAGAGCCTCAGCTCTCCTGGCGGGCTGGCATGCCATCTTGTGGCCATGGCTGGGAACTAACTTAAACTGGGTATTGGCCGAGAAGGCTTTAGGGGGAGTGGCCCTGCTCTGATGCTAAGCCGTGGGGGTGGCAGGCATCCCCTCCCCAGACCATACCACCTCCCTCCACTGGACAGGGTAGATTGAATCCAGAGATGTCATAGTGGGAAATCAGTGACCTTGGCCACAGATCTGTAGCTTAAGCAGTGACCCTGGTAGCCTGGGCTGG